GGGGCCCCGCGCTGGGCAGGACGCCTGGGAGCACCGAGTCCTCCCGTTTCCACAGGCATCTCCGCCCAGGCCCCTGCATCCTCCGAGGATGCTGAGAGGGAGGGAGGGAGGGTCCCCCTGCCTTGGTGCCTTCAGGGGAAAAGGCACAGGGGACTGCGGGGCTGGCAGCTGTTTTGTGACACTAGTCCTGGTAAGGGGAGCACGGTCTCTGCCCCAGGAGTCCCGTCCTTGACCTCCAGGAGAAGGTTCTCCACTTCTCCTGCCAACTCATCGCCTTAAGACACTCACTAACAGCAGAAAGGAGGTCCCAGGCTCCCGCTCGCCTGCTCGCACATTATGGGGCAAGGGAAAGGGAAGGGAAAAGAGGGCGAGAAGAAGGGCGAGGGCCAGAGTGGGGGTCTCTCCTTCCTGGGACAACAGCTTTGGGCTGCAGCTTGACTGGGAGGTGGCAGGACACGGTGACTGGAGCACAGAGCAGTGGTCACCACAAAGCGCTTCCAAGACCAGGGTTTTTACACGCTCTGGTGGCAAGAGCCACAACTGAGTTGAAGATGGGGGCTTCTGAGGTGGGGAAGATGGGAGAGAAGATTTACTCAACTGATTCCTGATCAAAATACGGCGTTATTGCTTTCCGCAGCAAGAGCCGTTACTTCAATGTGAGCGAAAGCACCAGAAGCAAATACACTGGTCACAGCATGGGCTGTTCGCTATCTTTTTTCTCTATATGAAATAGTAGAGGGAGAGAAAGCAAAGGAAATTTTAAAAGCACAAAGGTGGGCTAGTGGATTTTGAAAGAAACTCGTACTTGGAAAAGTCTTCAGAAATTGTATTAAAAAGACTTTTTATCCCCCTCTTGGTCTCCCAGTTTGAAGGTATACACATAGGGCAATCTCTGAGAAGGCTGGAAGGCTTCATTTCACTTGTAAAAGCTACAGAATTAGTTACAACAATGCTAGTTTTCCTTTAAAATAAATTTGCCACACATAGATTCTGGGGAGAATTTCTTCCTAGCAGAGATAAGCTCCCCCTCACTCCAAGAAACTAGAACTTGGTGGCATTTCGGCCGGGCCTAGAGCTGCGGCACAGACTAGAGACAGACACATGGAGCTGGATGGCTGCTGGGGATGCGAGGGGAATGCTGTCCCCTACCCGGGGATCTCACTTGGCCTTCTCTCTTTCCAGATGGAGTACAGCGGGCCACCGTGCGCCTCCCGCAGAAGGAACAGCTACGACAGCAGCTACTACACCGAGTCGCCAAACGGTGAGCGTTTGCCATGAGGGCAGTGCGAAACGCCAGGGCAGAGACAGGCAGTGCCCCAGGCTCCCATGCGCCTTCCCTGTCCCCAGCCACGTAGCAGCCTCCCGTAAGCCATTCAGCCAGCGAGCTGTCGATGCTAATACAAGTGCAGCGTTTCCCTCTAGATGTAGATGCACATATGGGGGTGCATTATAGCTGCATTTCATCCTCTTATTTAAAATACCGGATGTAAAAATACATTGGAATATATCTAATAGTTTTCAGAGTTAAACTATCTTTTGTATAAAGATTGTTCCAACCAGATATCACTGGATCCACCCTCCTGAAAAGTACTGTACTTCAGCTGGGTCTTTTTGCCATTCTGCAAATCATGGTCTCAGTTTTCATATAACTGATGCCTTCCACCAATACTCTTTTCCTCAGTCTCAACACGCCCACAGATATGCCCTGTCGGCCACTGCTTGGGGTACTCTGAAAAATATATCATCCTACCAGCATTAAATATCCACTGGATAAATTGATCACCTTTTCTGTCTTTAGATCCCAAGCACGGCAAGAGTTCTGTTGTTTCTAGCCTTGATTGCCTCTCAAGCATTGTGGAGAGGATTTCGACGGATAACTCCACGTGTCCTGTTCTGCCACCAGTGGAAAGTGTAGCTGAAGGGAGTCCCTGTTCTCCCCCAGAAGGAGCCAACCTGAGTGAGAGTGGAGTCCAAATTCCTTCCCCCACCAGTTGCACGCCGCTTCCCCAGGAAAACAGCAGCAGCAGCACCAACCCCATCTACCAAGTGCTATAAAGGCAGGTCTGGCTGAACTGCGGTGAAAACAAACTGTTACATTCAGCAAAGCTCCGAGACCAGCCTCATACGACTGAAAAGACTACTCAAGACTTCCTGTTCCAGGCCTAAAATTTCTCAAAATTCCTATGAATATATAACTTTTCAAATGTATATTCCTTCAAGATACATCTAGTTATTTATTGGTTGTTAAACTAAAGTTATTTAATGTGTCTAGCGCTAAAGCTATATACCATGAAATGGCCAACACTTAATCTGGGCTTTTGGGGAATAGGAATCTCGCTGTCAAAAGCAGGGGAGAAAAGAAATCTACAATTCTCTAGAGTAATGGCATAACACATCCTTTCTATTACCCCTGTTCTGGCCAAAATAAGGTTGTGGACCACTTTTTATAAAAATTTTTTGTATAATTGTAAATAAGAGTTGCTTTGCAAAAAAAAAAAAAAAAAGGAAAAAAGGAAAAAAAAAAGAAAAAATATTTAATGTTGCTTGGTTTGTCGTGCAAAACTTGAACTTTATATATTTATACAATGTGGTTGCCAAGAATGTTTTCAACAGTATTCTAAATAAAGACCCTTATTTATAAAATCCGTGGAGTTATCTTGACTTTCATTAGAGCTTCTAGAATTACTAGCACATTTAGTAGTGGTGCTAAGATCGCTGCCTTGGCAGGAAGAAGATACAGCCTCTGATTCAGCAAAGAATCAAGCCCAGGCTTCAGTTGCGCTACTTTCAACTCCTTTGCGTAAGTGCAAAGGGTTCTACTTTATTCACGTTGTACTTTTGTACACTTTTTAAAGCAAATGTTTGGTTTAAAAACACTTTTTAAACCAAAAGATTTGAGGTCGTTATTACATAGATCAGCGTGGTAAATAAGTGGGTGGTTCTTACCCCGAAGTCTTTGTAGACTTTTAGGGCACAATGTAGACACATTGTAGGATTTGATCTCTTAAGACTGGATAAGAACTAGGAATCCTGGTAAACTCAACTGTCTGAATTCTTTGCAGCTACCATGAGGCAAAGGCACACAGCACTGTCGCACAGCATTGCGTCCCACACTCTTACGTGCACATTCAGATTCTCCATGCCAGTTTTAATTTTCAAGTAAATGTACCATGTTCACATATTTCCAGGTAACTGAAAAGAGTTATTTGGGATTTTTCAGTGTCATAAAGTTTGAGGGACTGAGTTCAGTTGTTCCTAAAGCTCAGGTTGGAACCTGAGCCAAAGATAGGAAGCTTTAATTTGGATTTGAACTTTCCCCATCTCTGGCAACATTACTCCAGAGATTTGTTTCTTGTTTGGAGCCTTCCTAAAAATAACCACTGGGCTATGTTTCATTCAGTATATATATGCGTAACCTTGCAAGCTTGCCATAAAACTGAAAAATGTTAAGCCCCGAACAGATTGTCACTGGTAAGTTACCACCAGGGCATGTCTGTACATTTGCACACGAATGAGCAGCAGTCTCAGCCTGATGTGAAACAACCCATTGCTTCTACTTCCCTGTGACTTATGACTTTTGTTTTTTAAGAAAAAAAACCTAACATCATCAGCTCTAAATACTTTGGTGACAGATCAGTCCTTATGTTCTCTATTCTCTGTGTGGTGACTGTTCAAGAGGACACACAGCAGCTCCTACCTCTTGAGCAGGAAATTCGTCGGGATTGTCTCCCGCTCCTCCGCGCTTGGGTCAGGGCTCCCCGGAGAGGCACCAGCGGCCTTGTGTGGACACAGCAACGCGGCTGCTCCTCCCATGGCACCAGCGTGCCCAGAGCTTGCTGCTTTTCCCGAGGTCGGAGCAGGGTGTCTGGGGCAGGGGCTGCTCCTTGGTGCCTCCACGGAGATTGGACGCTGGAAAGGGCTTCTCTGAGGGGCTCCTGCAGGTCCCACTGTGGGCAGAAACACAGGACAGGCAGCATGAGCTGAGTTTCCCCGTTGAGTTTTCAGTTAAAATTCAATCGAGCCCAAGAGCGCCAGTTTATTCCAGCATGAATGAGGAGCCCCTCTAGCATGGCCAGAAAAATGCCTCGCATCAGCGTGACTGAGTCAAACCACAACGCAAAGACCAAAGGCAACACGGCGAGGCCTCGCAGGTAACACCGCGGCAGCCTCGCACGTCAGTGCCCACACGGATCAGCAACACAATTTCATTGCTTCCAGCAAAACCTTGACCGTGCTGCGACGTGAAGGAGTCATTGGTGAAATCCTGCCCGCTCCTGCCTCCGCACGCGCTGCTGCGGGACACCGCGGAGCCCCGCGCAGCGCTGGCAGCGCCCGCGGGCACGCGGGGCCTTGTGCTCAACAATGTACATGCAGTTCCCCCGAAGTCATGTAGATTGCGTTTCACCGATTTATTTTAGCAACCCAAGTTTCCACATACTGATGTTAATGTTACAACAGAGAACAAGCATTTAGCACATCCCAAAATAGACGGATGGATAAAGAAGAAGAAAATATTCATACATTTACTATGCAGAACCCATCTTTCCCCCATGGAGGCCAGGGAGGAACATCCACTGGAGCAAGGCCAAAGGGTATTAGTGCCGATAAATACATGTTTAGATTACAGCTACGCTTATTTATAATCTTAAATAAGGAAAAGCGTATGTCCTGCCTGCTCAATTTCTTCTTGCTTATTTCTAAGGTAATCTATCAAAAATAAATGCCTGAAGTTGCTATGCTCCTCTGTGCCCCCTGAGGACGGCATGTTACCCACAGCAGGACACCCCAGTCCTGGACTGCAAACACTTTGGAGCCGGGGACATTTGGCCTCGGAGCTGCAGCTTGGGCAGTAACAGGGAGCAAAGGCAGGGCTGAGGAACAAGAAGGGCCCAGCATTTACAAATCAGCTCTTAAATGGGCTCCTACAGCTGCTTTTTGGCATTCAGGGCCAATCCTACGGGGCAAAGAGCAGTCCAGCTTGGTCTGGTGAAGCCCTCCAGCTTGTGCTCCATGTGCCAGGGAGAGGACAGCAGGAAACCACCAAACACCCAGCCTTGGGTTCAGGAGTCAAACATTTAGCGGGACGGGGCACCTAAAGAAACACTGATTTAAAATCCTGACCCCCCTGCCCAGAAAGTCACATAACTATGAACAATTAGAGGAAAGTAGCTGTCTTGGAGCATTAAGATAAACGTGCAGCTCAGGAATATTTGATTTGGGGACTTAAGAGAGCCACAAAGAAGCTGCATGACAAAACTAGTATTATCGATTTACCTTATTCAAACCACTGCTTCAGATAAAATGAAATGGGATAATTTTTTACTTCATTTATATATGCTAAGAGCTCAGGAATATTTGATTTGGGGACTTGAGAGCCACAAAGAAGCTGCACGACAAAACTAGTATTATCAATTTACCTTATTCAAACCACTGCTCCAGACAAAGTGAAATGGGATAAATTTTTACTTCATTTATATATGCTAAGTGCTTTGATTTTGCAGTTTTGTCAGGTCATTTACAAGTACAAATGAAAATGAAGAGGATTTTTTTTTCTATTTGCAATGTATTGCAACAAATACAGTTGCAATAAAATTGCTTTTTGAGAGTAACAAAGTTACTTTTCAGTAACATAGACGTTACTAACCAGCAACATTGCATTATAATTTCCAACATCATTATCAAAGCTGCTACAGAATCCTTCACAAGCCAAAACCTAAATTATAGATAAAAGAAAAAAGCAAATTATATACATTTTTTCTTTAAAAAAAACCCCACCTATATCCAGATACATCAAAGTAATATTAACTTGGTGCCTGCTTCGTATCAGATGCTGTTCTTCTGAAATCACTCATCATTTTAACCACAAGCTAAAAACCTTATAAAAGCTGCTGAAAGCAGAAGGAAAAACAGCATCACTGCTATTTCTCTGAGAGAAAACAAGCATCACGCTACATTTTGCAAGCAGGGTCAAGCAGTGCACAGGGCAAAGCCTGCTCATTCAATTCACAGAAGTGGTACTACCAGCTACGTGCACAAGCAGCGAGGCAAACACAGACTACTAATGCTTCTCAGCTAGCCCTCTCTGAATCTCTTAAACAACTTAGTTTTCAATAAATCCACTGCAAAATCTGGACATTACTTGCTGGATGAGAGCGGCACCCTCCCTCCTCGAAGGAGCACGACTGGGAACACCAGTGAGGTGACCTGGGTCTCCTCACACAGCCTGGGGTTTCAGGGCTGCAAGGCAGTGAGCAGCCCCCAGGGGACCAGGACCTCACCCTGGTCCCACAGGACACTTAGGACGGGCTCTGGACACCCAGAAATTGCCCTGCAGGGCAAGACACGGGGGCCAAGCCCCTGCCTTGGCCTGCACGGACACCCCTCAGTAAAAGCCTTAATGCAGTGAGCTTAATAGTGAGAACTGAGCTGTGCCATGGCCACAGCATCACCCAGGGCCTGCCCAGTGACAAAGTCATCAAGCACTTCACATGCACTTTCTTTCTAAAAGGTTGATAACGTTTTTGTGTTGTACATGGAGCCTTAAAATTACATCAACAATTGTGCTATTTTCTATCAGACTCTGTATTAAGAGTTTAATGTATTAAGATTAATGTACTAAGAACTCCCGCAGCCAATAACTCACTTCATCAGAAAACTGTTGGTGCCTTTTTTCCACGGAGCCCCATTAATTCGGCGTCCTGGTGCTCAGCCACCTCAGCTAATGCCATGAGGACACAGGGGCAAAGCGGCTCTCGCAGTGCCCAAACGCAGGGCGCTGCCTCTGGAAGCGCTGGATAAAAGCTGGGTCCAATCCGAGCTGCACAGAACAGATTCCACAGATTTAAAAACGTTTTTTAATGCTGCTTTGGCACTTGCTTGAGAACCTTTATAGTGATTAACCCATCGGATAACCCCAAACCCCAGGGTCTGCCCAAGCCCTTCTGCGTGCCCCGAGTCCTCGCCAGCCTCCGAGCCGACCTGGAGCAGCTTTTGATCCAACAGCTGCATCTGCTGGACAACACGGAAACTGCGTTTCCTCCTGAAAACCCCTTTCTGGGGAGATTCAAAGTTCCGTTTTCTCACCTTGCCAAAACAGAAAGTCAGTTACTGGGGAGACTGCAAAAAGAGGCCCGAGCGCCAGGTACAGGAACGAAAAAGCG